ATGCAAAAGCTCCTGCCGCAGCCTGGGTGGGGCGGGGTGTCAAGGAATCAAAGGGCGGAGCAAGCAGCTATGGCGGAGCCTCAGCCCTGCCCTAAGGAGCTGGGAGTCTCAGTGTCCGGTAATGGCTGCAAGCACCTCTGAGGGAAAGCCGCCCTCAAGATCACCCGCTGCCAGATAGTCCAGTTTCTCCCCGTATGAGTCCTGGGTCCCCAGAGACTTCCCGGAACTGGTTTTGAGCGCAGTTGGGGGCTTGTGACTCCCTCCCGATTCAAAAAGACAGCTGCAACTGAACCCCTGCCATGTGCGCCTCCGTACCTCTGCACTTCCACACCTCCTCTGAGTCTCAGTGTGCTTTTCTCTTTCCTTCTAGTTGTAGAATTTCCACTCAGCCAGCCTTCCTATGGTTCTGGATGATGTCCGTTTTGTCTTTTAGTTGTGTTTTTGAATTTGTTGTGACTCCCTCCCGATTCAAAAAGACAGCTGCAACTGAACCCCTGCCATGTGCGCCTCCGTACCTCTGCACTTCCACACCTCCTCTGAGTCTCAGTGTGCTTTTCTCTTTCCTTCTAGTTGTAGAATTTCCACTCAGCCAGCCTTCCTATGGTTCTGGATGATGTCCGTTTTGTCTTTTAGTTGTGTTTTTGAATTTGTTGTGGGAGGCAGCAATTTCTGGTGTTTACCTATGCCGCCATCTTGATTTCCGGTCTCTCTATGTACTTTATTAACACATTTAGTCATCATAATAACCCGTCTGGGTAGGTTCTGTTATTGTCATTACTTTCTTCCTTATAGACAAGGAAGCTGAAGTAAGAGAGGTTAAGTCACTTGATCCAAAATTACATTTCTAGCCTGGCTGGTGTGGTTCAGTGGTTGAGGGTGAACCCTGATTTAGGAGGTCTTGGTTTTATTCCCTGTCAGGGTGCATATCCAGGTTGTGGGCTCAATCCCCAATCCGGGGCGTGCAGGAGTCAGCCAATCAATGATTCTCTCTAATCCTTGATATTTCTATCTCTCTCTCCCTCTCCCTTCCTCTTTCTGAAATTAATAAAAACATTTTTTTTAATTACATTTCTATTATGTAGCTATCCTAGAATTAAACTCCGGTAGTCTGGCTCCAGAGCCTATCATATGCCACTGTGCTATGTTATACAAAATTTAAGAGGTGTCAGAGGCAAAGATGATCCTGCCACAGTAAAAATCGCAAGTCTGGAATAAAATCATAGTGAAGCTTTATAGTAAGCAGAATATAAACTGTAAAGCTGTTTGTTCCAAAGACAAGTCCTAGGTTAGGTTTTTTTGTTTTGTTGTGTATGTGTTTTAATATAAGCAATAATGAAGGACTAAGAAGGGGGTCTTGGAGGGAAGATTGTGCTGGATCCTCCAGGGTGGAATATGGAACTAGTGTGGAGTGAAAGCTTATGGCCAAGGGTGGCTGAGACTACGTGCATGAACAATATAAGGCAAACAAAGGAAAGTCAGCATCAGAAGTTGTTTTATTTGAATCTATAGGTAGAGGCTTAGCCTGGACACAAATTCAGTCCTTTAGTTTTATTACCATAGCCATTCCATGTACAAAGAAGTAAATCTCATTGTTTTGCATGTTTGTATTTTGTAGTTTAGTTTTGATTCATTTTATAAAAGACAGCGATGAGATTGCTTTTCCACATAGTTGGATGGTTTTATTATGTGCATTTTCCATATCCCTTCTGGACACCAAAGTAAAATTCTAGAGCAACATACTTCAGAAGGCTTTGAGAACCTACACATTGTAAAAATTAATGTGTATTGAGAATATATTAAAGGATGGGTAATATGAGCCAGTCCTTCAGTTGTTATCTATTGAGCAACAACTTTATACCCAATCGTGTGGAAACCACATGTAAATATAAAAACCAAGCTCCTGATGACAAGATCTCATTATCTTGATGGAGAAATAGAATTTGTAAGACATGCATATTAATCCTAAATTCTGTAGCCCTGAAATTGTTAAGTAATTCAGAGAAAGGAAAAACCAGTGTGGATTAAGAGGTTTTGTGTGTGAGATGGGTTTTATATAATAATAATAAGCAGTATTAATTGAGCTCTTTCTTACTTTGTGCTGATACTGTCCTAACCACTTCACATATGTTACTCATTTCAAGCAGGAAGGATAAATGACCTGCTGGAGTCACCAGCCAGGAAGAGATGGAGTCAGAATTCACACCCAGGCAGTTTGGTTCAAGAGTTCACTTTTATTACTTCATCTCTCATAAGAAGGGAGGGATCTGGGCAGAATAAATTGAAGACGTTCCAGGAAGGAAGATTAATAGTAACAAGGGTATAAAGATGTGGTCTTAAATCCCCTTTCTGAGTTTTTGAAAGTAATGTTTTGTATTTCTAATATCATATGTGATATTTTAATCAGGTGCAATGATAGTCATAAGGCTTTAAAGTAAACTTGTTGTATATATGTTACCTTTAAATATTATGTGCTGAGTTATTGTTTTTTCTCCTACACCTATAATTATGACAGAAGTCAATGAAAAATTATGATTCTTTAAATGGTTGCTACTCTTACATTCTGTTTTCCAGGAATAGAACTGCTGCTTAAATCAAGATATATTTCAGTTTATTTTTTCCCTCAAATGTGCAGTATTTATACACTTAAGGTTAAACAAAGCATGAGTACATTTTGAATATAAAGAGAAATGAGTATTTTTAATAACACTTTTGTGCATTTGTCAATTGCATATCAGAGAGAAATATCTACTTTCTTACAATGAAGTTTTAATATTTTCATTTGATAGCATCAGACCATAAGTGCCATTCTACAAGATATAGAAGAAAAACAGGAAATTTTATTGGAGTTTGAAATAAGAACCCCCGAAGATGCAGGTAAATATGATAATGTGGTACTTGTCTTTCTCTGACTGGCTTATTTCACTTAGCATAATACTCTCCAGGTCCCTCCATGCTGTCTCAAAGGGTAAGAGATTCTTCTTTTTTACTGCTACATAGTATTCCATGGTGTAAATGTACCACAGCTTTTTAAAAAATATAGTTTTATTGATTTCAGAGAGGAAGGGAGAGGGAGACAGAGAGAGAGATAGAAACATCAATGATGAGAGAGAATCATTGATCAGCTGCCTCCTGCATGCCCCTACTGGGGAACTAGCCCGCAACGGCGGGATGTGCCCTGACTGGGAATCGAACCATGACCTCCTGGTTCATAGGTCAACGCTCAACCACTGAGCCATGCTGGCCAGGCTAAATTCTTAATGATCATAGACATTCCCCCCTTTGTTAGCACATGCATCACATTGTGACACTAACCTTTTTGAGGAGTCAAAAATTACTCTGGAAACACTTATTCTATAATTATCAAATCATTTGTCTAAATTGCAAAGGCAGGTTCTGGAACTAATTCCAACCATGAACTTCATGTTATTTCTCACTATTGATTTTCTCTAGTTAAATTATATAGAAAATATGCATTGGTTTAAAAAATTAGTCAAAAACACAAGGGAACAGTACCAAAAGTGAAATGAATAGCAGATGATCTTAAAAGAAATCAAACCTAAGTTTCAATTTCCTACTTGGGACTCTGTATTTGGACATAATTGGTATTTATGTGTACATCCTGTGGGTTTATGATGGGGCCGGGGGAGTGCATGATACCTTTACTTAGGAGGCAATAGAAGAAAGTAGGAAAATTTTAATTACAAAACTTACTTTATATAGATCTATAAGTGACCTTCAATTTTATATAGCCCTTGCTAAGTGTTAAGAATAAAGAGCAAGAACTGACAGCACAATTATTATTATTATTATTTTTATTTTTTTATTTCAATATATATCTTACTAATTTTTTACAGAGAGAAAGGGAGAGGGATAGAGAGTCAGAAACATCGATGAGAGAGAAACATTGATTAGCTACCTCCTGCACAACCCCGACTGGGGATGTGCCCGCAACTAAGGTACATGCCCCTGACTAGAATCGAACCTGGGACCCTTCAGTCCCCAGGCCGACGCTCTATCCACTGAGCCAAACTGATCAGGACACACAATTATTATTTTTAAACACACATATGTAGTTTTATAGTTTAAATATATATATAACAATACATTACATAAATATATTTAACTAGAAGCCTGTTGCACGAAGAGATTCGTGCATTAGGCCTTCGCTTCCCTTGGCTGCTGGCACCAGTTTTCCTCTGGCACCCAGGACCCAGGCCTTTGCTCTGGCTGGGCTCTGGCTCGAGGGGCCCCCCCACCCCCCCCCACTGCCCAGCAGTCAGGCTTCGCTGCTCCACTGATCCCGGGGCCGTGAGGCCTCACTGCTTGGCCAGCTTCAGGGCCGTTTGGCTTGGCTCCACCACTTGGAGCCTATGTATGCAAATTAACTGCCATCTTTGTTGGCGGTTAATTTGCATATCACCCTGATTAGCCAATGCGAAGCATAGCGAAGGTATGGTCAATTACCCTTGTTGTCTATTAGATAGGATATGTACACACAAATATATACACTACCACAAAGCATTTACAGCAGTCTCTTTTATAAAGTAAAATAGAGGTGAGGCAGGGCGGTGAGTGGGATACTCTTACTTTTCCTCTGGGTAAACATTCATTTTGTTTGAAATTATTTTTTACAACGATAATGTATTTTTTTGGCATTTAAAAAGTAAATAATTTTAATAGGCAAAATACTTACCTTCCTATTTATCTTCCTTTACCCCCCGCATTTCACAGATATGGAAGCTGACCATAGAGGTCATGTGACTTGCCCCATTTCAGACTAGTCAATAGGGTAGCAGGATTAGAACTCAAGCTGGCTGGCTCTTTCTTGGTACAGTGTTCTTACCTATAGATGTTAGGGTACTTCCATATGGTGATGTAAGTCATTAAGCCTTGATTTATATATCTGGACCACTGATATTGGGGAAAAGGGTAAGGAAATAATAACTTTTTAAAATTAACAGCAAGGCTGAGTCCTATGTGACCAAATTCAACATTTGCTATCTCTCAGTTAACTGACTTTTTACTTTATTACTGTGTTTCTAGAGCAATACACTGAAAAGATGTTAGAGATAAAAGAGATTATGGATAATGTGCTTGCCAAACAGAAGGCAGAAAGGGATGATCTGGCTAAAAAATACAGGTGAGTGGAAAAAATAGGAGTGTGTTAGAGTTATTAGAATTTATACATTTTTAGCTATAATAGTTAGGCCTAGAATTTCTTAGAATACAAATTCTTAAGACTGTTGCTTAGGACCAAAAAATAACTTTATCTAATCTATTACCTCCACAGGGAATTGTACTTCCTAGAAAGATATTTTTCTTCATTACTAGAAATATTCAGGAAACCAAAAGCTGTAGAAAACTTGTCTACAGCCAAAAATTTTATGAAAGTCTTTCTGGTCATGAATCCCCAAAATAAATTTTTTTCCTTAGTAAACTCAATTTTTTTACATTAATTTTTTAAAAATATATATTTTATTGATTTTTTACAGAGAAGATGGGAGAGGGATAGAGAGTTAGAAACATTGATGAGAGAGATCCATCAGCTGCCTCCGGCACGCCCCCTACTGGGGATGTGCCCGCAACCAAGGTACATGCCCTTGACCGTAATCGAACCTGGGACCCTTCAGTCCACAGGCCAATGCTCTATCCACTGAGCCAAACCGGTTCGGCAGTTTTGTTTTTTTTTGCTATTACAGATGTTGTTCCCCTAAGCAGTTTAATTATGTATATTTATTTGTTTTATGTACTTCTAAGTTCTCAGGGTTCTTAAGGAGTTTTATCCTGATTATATGGGTTATCTACCTCTTTTCATCCTTTTTTTTTTTAAATCTTCACCTGAGGATATTTTTCCATTGATTTTTAGAAATAGTGTAAGAAAGAGGGAAAGACAGAGAAATACCCATGTGAAAGAAATACATTCATTGGTTGCCTCCTGCACATGCCCTTACCAGTGCATGAGCCCTTACCAGGCCTGGGGCCTGCAACTGAGGTACTTGTCCTTGATCGGAATTGAACCCGGGACCCTTCAGTCCACAAGCCAACGCTCTATACATTTAGCGGAACTGGCTAGGGCTTCTCATCCTTGGTTGAGAAAGATGCAGCAAGCTAACCTACTGGTCAGAGTGTCTGCCCCCTGGTGGTCAGTGCATGACATAGCAACTGGTCGACCGGTTGACTATCTGCCCCCTAGTGATCAGTGCATGTCATAGAGAGCAGTTGAGTGGCCTTAGCATATCATTAGCATATTATGCTTTGATTGGTTGAACGGATGACCAGATGACTGGACACTTAGCATATTAGGCTTTTATTATATAGGATATTTTCTTGTTTGGGCATTATCTATTTTTTTTCTTGTGATGAGAACTTTTAAGATCTGTTCTCTTAGGAACTTTGAAATGTACAATACAGTATTATTAACTGTAACCACCATGCTGTGCATTACATCCCCATGACTTACTTATTTTATAACTGGATGTTTGTACTTTTTGACCACCTTCACTTATATCAGCCACCTCCTGCCCCCGACCTCCTGTTCTCGGAATATCTATATATCTATATATCTATATCTGTATCTATAGATATATCATATATAGGTGAGATCATAGGGTGTTTGTTTTTTTGTTTGACTTTCACTTAGCATAATGCCCTCAAAGTTCATCCATGTTATCGCAAATGGCAGGATTTCCTTCTTTTTGTGGCTAAATAATAGTCCACTGTATGTGTGTTACATTTTCATTATTCATTGATGGACACTTAAGTTGTTTCCATGTCTTAACTGTTGTGAATAATGCTGCAATGAATATTCAGATATATTTTTAACCCTATTCTTTATTCACAAGTAATATTTCTTTTCCTTTATATTCTTGTCTTATAATCCTTAGGCATCCATTGCATATTCAGATTTTTTTCTGAACTTATTTTTAAATCAGTTTTTATTTTTATTATAAATCTATCTTTATCCCCATTTTTCTTTACTCTTTAGTGAGTAAGTATCATAAATTCCTTTCTATAAAGCCACTGAGCTTATAAGACCTACAGATGGGGAATTGAATAAAAGAAGCTGTCCACTGAGTGCAATGACTCTGGGGCCTTCAGGGAGGTTCCAGTGCCTTGCCTGGGCCCACCTGGCATTTTCTAGGGGACTTTGGAGAAGGCTAGCTTCAATTTTTCTTACGTCCTCTGATTAACAAGATACTTAGAGTTTTACGCCGAAACCGGTTTGGCTCAGTGGATAGAGCGTCGGCCTGCGGACTAAAAGGTCCCAGGTTCGATTCCGGTCAAGGGCATGTACCTGGGTTGCGGGCACATCCCCAGTAGGAGATGTGCAGGAGGCAGCCAATCGATGTCTCTCTCTCATCGATGTTTCTAACTCTCTATCTCTCTCCCTTCCTCTCTGTAAAAAAATCAATAAAATATATTTTAAAAAAAAAGAATTTTGGAAATTCTTGATCAGTTAGGGTTTCAAGTATAAATCCTTATTAAAATTGCTTTAAGACCGCCGAAACCGGTTTGGCTCAGTGGATAGAGCGTCAGCCTGCGGACTGAAAGGTCCCAGGTTCGATTCTGGTCAAGGGCATGTACCTGGGTTGTGGGCGCTTCCCCAGTGGGGGATGTGCAGGAGGCAGCTGATCGATGTTTCTCTCTCATCCATGTTTCTAGCTCTCTATCTCTCTCTCTTCCTCTCTGTAAAAAATTAATAAAATATATTTTTTTAAAAAATTGCTGTAAGACTTAAAATCTTACAAACTAAAGAAAACTTTTATTTTGTGTCTGAACTCTTTGTTTCACATAGTTTTATTTTTTAATTTATTTTTACTTTTAATCATTTTTTATTTTTCAATTACAGTTGGCATACAGTATTACATTAGTTTCAGGTGTACACATCAGTGATTAGACATTATAAAACTTACTATGTGAGCTTCCTGAAAAATCTCATACCCATCTGATACTATATATAGTTATTAGAATATTAACTATATTCCCTGTGCTGTACTTTACACCCCCATGAATATACTATAACTACTAATTTATACTTCTAAATCCCTTCACCTTCTTCATCCATCCCATCAATCCCCTTCCCATCTGGCAACCATCAAAATGTTCTCTGTATCTATGAGTCTATTTCTGTTCTGCTTTCTCACTTATTTTTATTTTTTGATTCAATTGTTGATAGATATTGCCATTATGTTGGTCATATTTTTAATCTTTTTTGTTCTTCTTAAAGAAGACCCTTTAACATTTCATGTAATACTGGTTTGGTGGCAGTGAACTCCTTTGACCTTTCTTGTCTGGGAAGCTCTTATCTGACCTTTAATTCTAAATGATAACCTTGCTGGGTAGAGTAATCTTGGTTGTAGGTCCTTAGTTTTCATTGTTTTGAGTATTTCTTGACACTCTCTTCAGGCCTGCAAAGTTTCTGTTAAAAAATCACCTGACAGTCTTATGGGAGCTTCCTTGAGTGTATCACTCATGGAGGTGGTAGCGTTGTAATTCAGTATGGTCTGAAGCTGTCCACTGAGTGCACTCACTCTGGGGCCTCCAGGGAGGTTCTGGTGCCTTGCCTGGGCCCACCTGGCATTAGCTACAGAGTTATCTGCAGATGGCTGCTACTTGTTTGGGGTTTGGAGGTACCCAGGAGAGGCCAAGCTCTGAGCCAAGGCAGGCTGCAAGTAGTGCCAGGCCTGGGGCCACTTAGCAAGAGATATGAGGTACACTGAGGCCAGTTGCTGCTTGTTTGAGAGATTTTAGGAAAGCCTGTCCTCTGAGGCAAGAGAGTACAGTTGTATGGAAAAGCCACTGGAAATGGCTTGGATAAGCCCCCAAGTTGGGTAGGGCAGGGTGACAGGGAATCACCAGAATGGAGCGAAAAATGTGATCCAAATTGATAGAGACTCAGACTTAGCACCCGTCTCTCGGCTCTGTTGGGGAAGGGCTGAGCAAAGGAACAGTGGCCTCTGCCAGCACTTTCGTCTGGGAGAAAGCTTCTCCCCAGCTCTTGCACTGATACCAGACAATTTAGTTACTCCCTGTATGTCCCTGGTTCCTTTCAAGCTGCTGCCCCAATGAGATAGCTCAGAGGGAATAAGTCCAAATAAGTTAATGTGTGGGCCCTTTAAGAGGAACTGCCCAGGACTCCAGCAGCCTCCATGTCACTCGGTCATAATCCCCGCTGGTTTTTACAACCCAAAGTTATAGAGACTTCTTTTCTCAGCTCTGGAACCCTGGGCTAGAGGTCTGATATGGGGCTGGCATCCCTCACTCCTCAGGGGGGATCTCTGTAGCCAAGATATCCCTCCCAATTAAAAACTGCCACACCAGCCTATTCCATGCCTCCACCCCTCCTACTGGTTTCTATGAGACTTCTTTAATTCCCTAGTTGTGGAACTTCCATTCAGCTAAATTTCAGGCAGTTCTGAATGATGGTTCTAAAAATTAGTTGTATTTTTTATTTTATTTTATTATTTTTTTTAAATATATATTTTTATTGATTTCAGAGAGGAAGGAAAAGGGAGAGAGACATAGAAACATCAATGATGAGAGAGAATCATTGATCGGCCACCTCCTGCATGCCCCTCACTGGGGATAGAGCCCGCAACTCGGGCATATGCCCTTGGCCAAAATCGAACCTGGGACCCTTCAGTCTGCAGGCCGGCACTCTATCCACTGAGTCAAACCGGCCAGGGCTAGTTGTATTTTTTATATGATTGTGGAAAGATTTGAGTATTGCATTTACCTATGCTGCCATTTTGTCTGAAGCCTCTGTTTCACATAGTTTAAAATGTGATATTGTTAAATTCTTTTTTCTTTATTTTCTTGCATTTTATGCTATCAGTTGTTAATCTGATTTATTCTTTCTGTTTCTTACACTTACATCTACTTTAATACCCAGTATACTTGGAGTTTAGCAGCAACAACTCTAAACTGTGACAGAAAAAACAGATATCTATTTTACTGCTTTTCTTAAAACAGCTGCTCTTAAATGGGTGGTTCCTAAGGATCCCTGACACTATTTCAAGGGGTCTATGAAGTCAGAACTATTTTTTAAGAATACTAAAATGTTATTTGCCCTTTTTTGCTCTCATTCTCTCATGGAATTTTATTTAGGCCACATAGTGTGTGATGACATCATCACTCTAATAGTGAATGGAATGTGTGCTTGGGTATTGTGTTTTTAAATTTTTTCAGTTTTATTTTCCAAACAGTAAATATTGATAGATATAACCCATATAAACAAAAGCTCTTTGGGTTTCTCAGTAATTTTTAGGAGTATAAAATAATCCTGAGAACAAAAAGTTTGAGAACTACTGGAAACAAGGTGTCACAGGATGTCCAGGAGGTGGTAGCTGTGGAATCTAACAAAAAAACAGAGGTGTGGGCGAGCCATTTTCTCCCACTTAGTCCTCTAGCCCTGAGAGATTTGGTTTGGGGGAGGCATATTGGTTAATGCTTGTCTGAGAAGTCCCTCTGGACTTGAAAATGCTCAGTACAATTACAGTAATTACTTGTTGAACTGAATTTCTCATATTAGCTCAGGCATAATTATTCTCAAAACAATCTCACTCTTCTAAAATTAAGGGGACTTGAGTGGAACTTCCAAATTTTACTTCTTTATACACTTTTCCACTATAAACAGGTAACCAAACTTGAAACTTAAAGCATGGTTAAGAATCGGCCACCAATTGCTAGCTTCCAAGTAAAGGACTAGTAGATACCCGGATAGACTACCCATGTTTTGTTTCTCTTTTAGGGTTGACTCACAACTGCTAAATAATGATCTGAATATAAATGTGGGTATAAATGTGGATAACCACACTGCCACCTCCTTAGAAAGGCAAACTCACTTACCTTAAGAGTCAGTTTCCTCTCAAAGAAAATGCATTTACAAAGACAGAACCTTGTGTACTTTGTGGTGGTCAAATTTAAATTGAAAGAAAGTATCTTTAAAGTGCAAATGACTGCTTTTTAAAAAGCTTTTTACTTTGTATTTTTGTCTCTTCTGTTTCTTACTATAGGGTTTCTATAGAATCATTTAAGCATGGTGTCCTAAGAGAACAACTGGCTAACTTGGCCATGAGACAGAAGAGCCTTTTAGTTGTGGCAAAAAAACAGAAAAAAATAAGCCAGAAAATTCAAAACTATAAGAATGTTACATCTGTGTCTGGTCTTAGTTTGAGGAAACTGCCATCCAGCTCAGAGATCTCTTGTGAAAAGGACAACCAAGAGCTTACCAGCCTGGAAAATTCAGTGCAGCCCCAGGCGGGTTCATTTTCTCCTGCCAGCTCTGTTTGTGAAAGCATACAGGAATCACAGTTGTCTCTGGAAACGTGGAACGACAGCCAAAATACCAACACTTGTCTAAATTTAGAGACAGTGAGAAGGGAAGACTTTTCTGAAATTAAGCTGAATTCTAGACGAAATGTCAGTGACTGCTCCTTGGATGAATTTTCAAACTCCAGACCTTCAAATGGCACTAAGAAGATTAAATTACCACCCCAACCTGTTGCTTTTATTGCTCAAGCAGAATATTTACAAAAAGAAAATGATCTTACAGCACATACAACCAAAGGTCATGAATCCTATAGTTCTTCAGCACTAACTGGCCCATTAAATACATCAGAAACCACAAGTGTACTTGTCCCAAATGCCCATTCATCCACTGGTATTTGTGGTCAGACTCTTTCCAATTATGATCCAAAAAGAGGACACAAGAGAACAGCTTCCCAGCAACCACCTAGGGGGACATCGGAAACCCTGACACATCAAGATATTGATGACTTAGGCAGTGATATGGGGCATCAGATGAAACCATATCTTAAAAATTCAGCTTTTGCTGTTCCACATGCAAATGACAGTCAGAGCACCTCCTCCTCTGGGTCTGGCCCTCAGCATACTGCAAAAAAGCCTTTAAACTACATCACAGCTCCTAAAAAGAAGCGTATGCAGATAAAGGATCTGATAGCACTAGGAAGAATTAGTCCAGGAAATAACGTTTTGGAATTCAAAACACAGGTATCTTTTTTTTCTCCTCTAAAATGATCTAAATTTTAAAAGTGAATAAATTTTGCTGTTGCATAGTGTAGGCATTTACCTCCAACTAGTGAAATGGGGTTTGGCTGGGCTTCTTGAATGGAGGGACCATAACCATTGTATTCTTAGCAAATGAAATAATGCTTCTAGAATTTCCCTATACATTTTAGTCCCAACTATCTGTGGGCTCTCAGACCGAAATTATATTGCACCAGGAAGGATTTAAGAGCAACATAAAAATAGTAAGCTGGAGCTGGCTTTGATTCCAAAATTTTGGAAACTACCAGCGTACTGCTGAAGCTTCCCCTGATAAGAGGTAAGCATAAATTCATCTTCCGTAGGAACTTTGTTGTTTTTCTGTGTGTGTTTTTTTAATCCTTACCCCAAGATATTTTTTCCATTGTTTGTTTGTTTGCTTGTTTGATTTTAGAGAGAGAGAGTGGAAAGGAAGGAGGAAAGGAGAGAGAGAGACAGAGAAACAGAGAGACAGATAGACAGAGAGATATCGATTGGTTGCCTCCTGTACGCCCTGACTGGGGCTGGATATTGAACCTGTAACTGAGGTACGTGCCCTTGACCGGGAATCAAATCTGCGACCCTTTGGTCAGAGGGCGGGCACTCTAACCACTGAGCAAATTAGCCAGGGCTCAGTTTGTTTTTACAAAAAAAAAAGTGACTTGGAGTTTGCATAAATCTGACCCACTTAAAACAACATCACATATGCATAAAAGTAAAGTAAAGGAAAAAAGGTTCTGCTAGAAATGCTGACAAAAGAGGCTTCCTTTCCTCCCTCCCCACTTTCACTTTTTGAAAGAGGAATTCAGAGTAGCAAAGATTGCAGAGTCCAGGAATGCTTTCTTTCTTATGACCATCCTACAGATATCAGTCCAGGCTAACTGGAATTTAATCTGAATGACCTATGTTTCCAACCCTTTCCATCTCTGGGTAATTGGGCTTTTCCTAGTTAGCAAGCTTTACTTATAAGTTAGGAGCAAAAAACCCCCCAAACATTTAAAGCTTCAAACTATAATTTAAAGACCAAATTAGTAGCTTGATCTCAGATTCCTGAGTGTTCTTATTTGCTTGCCTGTCAACCAGTTTATTGCTAAGTAGTACCTACCTCAGATTAGCCAGAGCAAATTACATTTTATTTAGTAAATTAGTTTCATTAACTCATATTTTGATAGTTGTGGTTAATTCTCTGGATTAGCTATAATTAAATTTTAATACAACTTTTTATATTAACAGTTTTATTAAGATATAATTGACATACAATACAATACACGTATTTAAAGTATACAGTCTGACAAGTTTTGACATATGTATACACCTATGTAGCCATGACCACAAACAATACACATCAACCCCCAAAGCTCCTGTGTGTCCTTTTGTACACCTCCTTCATCTGCTCCCTTCCCATGCCAATGTCTAGACAATTATTGGTCTGCTTTCTGTCCATATACATTAGTTTGCATATTCAAAAATTCTATATAAGTGGAATTATACCGTATGTATTTATTTTTGTCTGGCTTCTTTCTCTGAGCATAATTATTTGAAATTCATCCCTATTGTAGCATGTATCAGTAGTTTATTTTCATTGCTGAGTATTAGTTCATTATATGTATACTAGAGGCCCGGTGCACGAAATTCATGCACTGGGAGTGGGGGAGTTCCTCAGCCTGGCCTGCACCCTCTCGCAGTCCGGGAGCCCTGAGGACATGTCCAACTGACAGCTTAGGCCCACTATGCCAACAGTCAGATGTCCTTAGATTGCCATGGAGGCGGGAGAGGCTCCCACCAACTGCCGCTGTGCTCGCCAGCCATGAGCCCAGCTTCTGGCTGAACAGCGCTCCCCCTGTGGGAGCACATTGACAACCAGGGGCAGCTCCTGCATTGAGTGTCTGCCCCCTGGTGGTCAGGGTGTGTCATAGTGACCAGTCATTCCACCATTCGGTCATTTGCATATTAGCCTTTTATTATGTAGGATATGCTGTAGATGAGGCCCCCTAGAACTATAAGAAATGCAGAATATTCACTGTTAACTCATTCTCAAATTGCCCCCACTTAAAAATCAAATTGCCCCCCTGTGGGGGGTGTGCTGCACCTTGGGAACCACTGGGCTTGACACTTTTCCTCTCTGAGCTTCATTTCTGCATACATACGCATATACCATGGGAATTATAATCTCTTCTCTGCCTACCTCACTGGGTTGTCATGAGGAGGTTCTGAGCTAATAAACCTAGAAATGTTTCATCAAGTAAGTGATGTCTAAATGGGAAAGGATTGTTATTTTTAAGCTCACGGGTACCCTTGCAGGTAGCAGGTGCTGATTAGGGGAGGAGGGCATGATTGTTTCCTGGGACTGTAGCTATCAATGCTTTGCAGAGGGTTCCACAGGCCTCGAGCGGGCTCTGGCCAGCAGCCCTGTAGTGTTGGTCCTCCCTGGAGGTGCTGGCTTGGGGGGCGGTAAGGGGACACTAGGGGGATGGTGAGGCCGAAGGGGGAGTAACTGTCAAACCTCCCCACTTGTGCCATTCTTTAAATTGTATGTGGCCATTTCACAGCTGTAGGTGCTCAGTGCAGGGCTCCAGTCTCCTGGAGTGGGGTGGGGGCCGGGCCAGGGCGGAGCCAGGTGGTCTAGGAGGGTGGGTTTAACCTCGGCCCCATGGTGAGGTTCAGTGCACTTCCACTGCGAAGATGGCTACGCTGCTATCAGGGCGAATGGGTCTGACCCTGGGGGGCCACTGGGGCCTGCCTCCACCTGGGTCTGGAGTTGTAGGGAGGAGAGGCATGCCCAGTCCCAGCGGAGGGGGCCCAGCAGTGGCGGGCTGTGGGTCCCGGGTGTTTCAGGGGCGCTGATGGGTCATTGCCATTGTTGTGGGCGCCCCTGGCAGGGGTAGCAGGGGAAGAGATTGGGAGTCGGAGGTGTGGGCTGTGGCTACCCCCGAGGCTGGGTCTTCTCCCCGTCCAGTCAGCCTCCGCGTTCCCCCTGGGGGTGCAGGGGCTGGGGTAGGGTGTCCATGTAGGGGGATTGGAAGAGCTCCCCGTAGCTGCTTACTCTTCCTTTGCAGTCTGGGCTTCTGTCAGGTGCTCTCTTCAGACCCCCGGGAACTTGGCTCTGGCCGCCCCACCCCTCCGTGGCTCCCTGCCGCCCTGCCCCACTTGGCTCTCCCTGGCCACCGGCCCCCTGTCAGGAGGCTGCTGGCCCTGCTGCGGGCAGCATGGTCCTAGGGGCAGGGGATGGGGGTGTGGGGAGAAGCTCCAGTAAAGTTTAGTAAACCCCAGGTCTGTGTTGGGATTTGGCTGTGGGGCTGCAGGGGAATCTGCCTGGGTGGAACAAAATCATGCGAGACCCAGAGTCCCGCCCCACAGCCCCGCCCACCTTGCTGAATGGTCATGATGTGAGGGCGTCCCGGATAATTTGCATATTCCTCTGTTATTATATAGGATTATTATATAGGATACTACAGTTTATTAATTCATCTGTGGTAGACATTTAGATTGTTTCCAATTGTTGGTTGTTACAAAAAAGGCTATTACGAACATTGATATACAGTTTTGGTCTGACACAGACTTTCATTATTTCTTGGGTAAGTAATTGAGAGTGGAGTGGCAAAATTATATATGGTAAGTGTATATTTTACTTTTTAAGAAATTGCCGAAGTTTGTAACATTTTACATTCCCACCAGCTATCAGTGAGAGTTATAGTTCCTTAGCCAACACTTAGTATGATCAGTCTTTTAACTTTAGCCATGCTAACATATAGTGTAAATATGTATATGTACTATAGTATATGTGTTGTGGTTTTAATTTACATTTCTTAATGATTAGTTATGGTGAGTATCTTTTCATGTGCCATTTGCCTTCATATTTATTCTTTAGTGAAATGTCTGTTCAAATCTTTTGTTCCTTTTTATTGTTTTCTTGTTTTTTATTGAGTTTTAAGGGTTTTTAAACCATTGTTTTCATATATTTTGTTTTTTGGTTGCGTCAGTTGCTCGTGCAAATCTAGTCCCTGTTACTTCATGGCCAGAAACAGAAGTTCACATATTTCATCTATATTTTAATATTAACATTTTTTTTCTTCAGGAGACTACCCACAAAGCCAGTGTTTTATTGAGTGGTAAAATTAAGGTAGAAAATGGTCAGATTTATCAAAATCCAGTCACCTGGCTAAACGATCTTCTAGGAGGCGACAGTCATGTGACCTGGAATTATGCTTGGAGTAAGGTGGGTCATCTTTCACTTCATGCTCAAATGGAAAGATACATTTTTTTAAAATGATAAAAGTACTTACTTATTTTCTTATAAAGAAATCTGCAAGTTCTCCAAGATCATTTTTGTCCCCAGGTGTCCCTTCTGCAATATGCTACATGCTTTCTCCCACAACTTCTATTTGCCAGAATTCCCTGGGGGAAGGGCCTCCTTCCTTGCTCCTCACTTAGTCTCAGAAATTTGAATGCCCCAATTTTCTTGACACCAAGTGATTTCAGGTCCTTGTGACTCCATGTAGAAAATTTGGAACCACTGTTGACTTTAATAATTTATTAATATGTTATCAGCCTTCTGACAGAATCTTCTCCTAAAGACAGAAGGAACCAGCAAGGGCCTTAAGACCCACAGAAGTTATGGTTCATTTTTATGTTTGAACATAGTTTTATCTATGAATTGCTAGCTCCCCCCAAAAGAAATATTTCTTTTCATTCATACTTCCCAGACTTAGTAGCCTCCCTCTCAGTTAGGTCTTCTGACTTATAAACCCAGTCTGACCACCAATTTGAAAACTATTAATGACTGACACCCTTGAGGTCCAATGACCAGCCACTTCCAGATGTCTATGGCACCACTTAAGGGACAGTCTTGCAATGATTCACCCAGGAAAGTGTGAAAATTGGACATCCACCATAACTGTTTCACAGAACTGCAGATGTCTTCAGCCTCCACTCACTATTACAGTAAGGCTCAGTCCAGCACTAGTAAGAGGCAGAGTTTCCTCTTTTTTTTTGTCCAAGCCCTGCTCACCCTTTCTCATAACCCCTGCTCTTGGTCTGTGTCCCTAAACACAGCATTCTGGTCTCCTAGACTTTGTGGCAGGTGCTTCCAGAACTCTTTCAATTCCTTATATCAGTGCATTTTAAATGGTCACTGTATTACATTTTCTCTGTCCTTTTTTGTTTTTTAACTTTCAACCCCTGGAGTCAACTGGCCATCTGCTTTCAATTCACTCTGCCCAATCCTTTCCATGGATTCATAAATCATATTTGCATATTAGTAATTAACACTTAACCCATGGAAATTCCTTTTTTTACAACGTTTCTTAAACTTATGATAGATTATATTATTTTGCTGAAACTGAGTCTATGCTCAGTATAAATATGGTACTGATTGTTACAGCTTAGGTTCTTTTGAGCTTACATACCTCTGTTACAGTGTGCCTACTGATGACTCAAGTCTCCTACCTACTCTTTTTCTCTACTAGAACTATTGCATTCTGCTTTTGAATAACTGTGACATCATTTAGCCCTCACTCTGTACTTCATTTACATACCACATTGCTTCTGATCTTTTCTTATTAGTCATGTCAATTAGGGTTGTATTGTTTAACATCTATGTGATAGTGAAGCCAAATGCAAATGTGGACATCAATATTAGTGCAAATCTTGGATATAAGATACTCGTACTGATTATCGGAACAGGATTATATTTTTTAAAAATTGTTCTAAAAACAGGAACAGTTTTTAAAATTTCTATAGGCCATGCATATACTTCTAGTAAATACTCGAAGCCAGTGGGCGGCAAACTGCGGCTCGCAAGCCACATGCGCCTCTTTGGCCCCTTGAGTGTGGCTATTCCACAAAATACCGACTTCTGCGCATGGGCCACGAAGTTTCAATCACACTGTACGTGCGCGCCCTCGCGTGGTATTTTGTGGAAAAGCCACACTCAAGGGGCCGCAGTTTGCCGACCACTGCTCTAGATAAGAAACTCTACTCCAGTGAGTTGCTTTATTTAAATAGTTTATTTTAAAAGCCTCTTTTAAAATTTACCACAGAAATTGCCTCTACCTCCTCTTGTCTTGAAGTAACTCCTGAATTCACAGTCACTTCTTGATGAAGGGAACTTTTGTTACATTGGTAAATATGAATATTTCAACTGACTAGTCTTAAGAATGTTGGTGAGGCTATGGGACCAGGAATGGTTGGTTGTCAGGCAAGAAATGCCATAAAACTAGGTCTTGTCCTGCATCAGACAGAATGACAGAGCCACAAGACCAAGAGATGACTCATACTTCCTACCCAAGCAGCTGGGCCTAACCATGGGAATCCTGCTTACTCCCATTGGGCATCACTACTTGCTGTCACTGACAGTCTCCTGGCTGTTAGCTATCATCCTGATATGGCAGAGTGATCTCTCTTCTGTGGGAGACAGGAGACCATGCTTGTTCCTGATACCACCCTTGATAAGTTATATGATGTGGGCAACAGTTTTCAATCCTGCCTACATATTAGAATCACTTGGGAGCTTTTAAATCTACCATTGCCTAGTGGACTCCAGGCCCTTAGCTTCTGACCTAATAGTCTGAGTTAAAGACCAAGTGGTAATATTTTTTAAAAGATTTCCAGGCGATTCTAATATGCAGCCTGGAGTGAGAACCGCTGATCTAGGTCAAATCATTTAACCTTTCTGAACCCGTTTTCTTATTTATAAAATAAATAATAATGCCAATGGTCTCTAAAGATTTTTTCCAACATGGAGATGCTAGGACTTGCATAGCACTGTGTGTAAAACACTTTTATGTATATTCTTTCACAAAACTCCTAAGAAGTCAGAAGATCAACTATTATCTTTGTTCGTGGATGTGAAAACAGTATTGCTTGTGGTTAGTGACCTGATTAGCCTCAAGGCCAGTAAGTGCCAGAATTGGACTAGAACCTGATCTGATTCCCTATGAACTGTTTTCTACATTTACAACAATATCACACACAAGGGAGGCCCACTTCCTTTTCCTGGAAACAGCCTGCCCTGAACTCAGAATCATTCAGCTGCCTTTATGAATTTCTGCAAAGACGTATTCTTGTGCAGCAAAAATGCCCACTTCACAGGGAAAATGCCTTCCTGTGATACAGGTGCAATATGAACATCATAAGAATGGCAATGACAGTTCAAGCCCTGGACGAGACTTATGCAGATAAAAAGTAAGCTGCCATTTGGGCAGTGACTCAAGGAGCACTGACAGATCTCTTTTGCAAACACACTTCCCATCGTGACGCTTCCCTGTCTGAATTCTACCCTCATGAATGTACTCCTTTGAATATAGCATTGACTTTTCTCTATGGTTTCCCCGTCACCCTACACACTTTCTAAAAAAATTTCTCACACCCTATGATTAGGAATATCAAGATATGGAGAAGTTGGGGTAGGAATACAGAAAGTGATGGAGATTGTTTATCTGGACAGATAGTCTCATTCAGTCCATTAATTATACTCCCAATGTGTCATAACTTAAACCTCCTGTGAGTCCAGCTTCTACTCAGGAGGAGATGGTTAGAGATGTGGGCCCCTTTAAAATACAGATATCTAGCCCTGGTAGGTGTGGCTCCGTTGATTGAAGCATTGTCACATACACCAAAAGGTCTCGGGTTTGATTCCCAGTCAGGGCACATATCTAGATTGCAGATTCGATCCCCAGTCTGGGCACATACAGCACGCAACCAATGGATATTTTGCTCTCTTCTTCTCTCCCTTCCTCTCTCTAAATCAGTGGTTCTCAACCTGTGGGTCGTGACCCCTTTGGGGGTTGAACGACCCTTTCACAGGGGTCGCCTAAGACCATCGGAAAACACATATATAAAATTACATATTGTTTTTGTGATTAATCATTATGCTTTAATTATGTTCAATTTGTAACAATGAAAATACATCCTGCATATCAGATATTTACATTATGATTCATAACAGTAGCAAAATTACAGTTATGAAGTAGCAACTAAAATAATTTCATGGTTGGGGGTCACCACAACATGAGGAACTGTATGAAAGGGTCGCAGCATTAGGAAGGTTGAGAACTACTGCTCTAAATAAACATATCCTCCAGTGAGGATTAAAATACAAATATCTGAGGTATGAATCCTAAAGGCATAAATAATGTGAAAGGCCTGCTGCTCTTCTGCCTCTAATTGCATAGGGTATCTGGGGGAAGTGGAAAGAGAGGCTTCAGGATGGTGAGTAGGCGAGGAAGGTATCTGTCATCATTTCCCCAGGATCAGCTCTTCCAAAGAAGTTACTATAATTACACTTTGATACTCTTTTCTGTATTGTCTTTTGAATTCCTTAGAAATATTTTAATATTCTTAGCCCAAATGTATTTTTAGCTTGCAACGAACTTAAAGAAATGAACTTTGCCTTTCTACTCCCCCTAAGATGGAAAATAATTCTTCTTTTCTCTTTCATCCTCTTGGAGTAGTGAAAGTTGTTAAGACTTGCTTCTTAAAACTTGAAATGAAATTACAGTAGTCATTTGATCATCCATGAACAGATTCTCATTAGTCAATACTAATAACTGTTTTTCCTGAAGATCTGTGAAAAATGGACTGGTACTTTCAAATAAAATGCAGTCCCAGGAGGGAAACAAATTCTTGAACACTTCTTTAATATTCAAAGGCAGGTTATGTTTTATATTCTTTTCTTGATGCATGTTAATACATAAGGTATAGAGAAACATTTGTTATTGCAATTAATGACAGTTGATACCATACTTTATTTTCAAAGACCTAACCAAAATAAAGTTAATTGATCATTTCACTTGGCTCATTCACTACATTTTCAGAATAGTGGCTCCCTGAATTATCCATATACCCCAAACACCTACATGCACACTTCCCACACCCCACATCTTTCCTAAATATGATATTAGGGCATCAGCATAGACTGGTTTCTGAGGAATAATGGATCTCTGCTCTACCTGTGGCCTCAGGGTGAAGCACCCTTTTAGCTCTACCTTTTAGAAAAGTAAGAACACAACAACTTACAGAATATACCTTGCCCTGAGCTACAACTCTCTTACCTGTCCTCATCTGAGGGAACGTTGCATCCCATCAGGCACCCTTCATCAAAATGGGCTTTGGACGGTGAAGTTGCTGAGATTGCTGGAGGTTATGTAGCCCAAGACCCTATGAACCCAGCCTCTGTCAGGGCAGGCATATGAGCTAGATTTGCATCTAATGAGATTAACCCAGGAATTAGTTTGTCATAGACAGATGTACTTTATTCTTTTTCTACTAGAAGCCCGGCGCACGAAATTCATGCACTTGGGGACGGGGGAGGGGGGGCGAGATTGCAAGAGGGTGCAGGCCAGGTCGAGGGACCCCACTGGTGCATACTTGGGGACTGAGGTGGGAGGGGGGTTGGCCAGCTGGGGAGGGACAGCAGGAGGGCTCCAGGGCGTGTCCGGCCTGTCTTGCTCAGTCCCGATTGGCTGGACCCCAGCAGCAAGCTAACTTACCAGTCAGAGCATCTCCCCCTCTGGTGGTCAGTGCACGTCATAGCAACTGGTCAACCAGTCCACTGTCTGCCCCATGGTGGTCAGTGCACACCATAGTGACTGGTCAACCGGTCAACTACCCTATGGTGGTCAATGCACGTCATAGCAAGCAGTTGAGCAGCCTTAGCATATCATTAGCATATTGCGCTTTGATTGGTTGAATGGCCAACCGGACACTTAGCATATTAGGCTTTTATTATATAAGATAGTACAGTAAATACACAAACCAGTAGCATAGTCATTTATTATTATCAAGTAGTATGTACTGTACATAATTGTATGTGCTGTACTTTTACACTGTTGGCAGGACAGTAGATTTGTTTACACCAGCATCACTACAAACACATGAGCAGTGTGTTGCACTGTGACATTAGGATGGGGTGGCTTTAGCCAACTGGAGCACAGGTACTAATGTGAGATGGACAGATTCCAGAAGTGACCTAGTCCCTGCTCATTTAGAGATCTATTTATTACTATCCTTGTTCAACAAATCACTCTATCTTGTGGAAAATAGATTTTAAACTCAGTGGATTTGTTGTTGCTGTTAACAACTGATAATTTATTTAAACAGTTGATTTAAGCATCTGCAATGGTGACTGCAACCTCCAACTCCTGGCTCAGTATGATGGAAGGAATCTGTTTAACAATCTCAGAAGAGCTGTGCAGGTCAATGAAGTCACTGTAGATCCTTGTCTGAAACTGATCCCAAGTTTTAGAACCCTCCCCACTGGGGTTTTTTTGTAGTGATTCTCTGGGTTTTGGTAGGCATGTGAATTGGTCCTTTCACTCTGAGATTCTTTTTTTTGTACCTCTGGTCAAGTCAGCATACAGCTTCTCCAACCGTTTTACATTGTGGCTGGTTAGAGTAATTATAATTCGGTGAATTGCCACCTCTGGTTCCATGGTTCCACGGGTGTCTTTCTGGTACCTTTAAAAGCCATGGCTTTGGCTCAGCTTCCTGAAGGACTTGTTTCTTGGTGAGGCAGGAGCAGGAGCGATTGGTCAGACAGTTGGAGGACACTTAGCATATTAGCCTTTTATATATATAGGGTACCTAGCACCAATGATAAAAAATGTACTTTAAATCTGAGATATAAGTGAAAACATACTGAGCCTCCACATTGATGAGTGTATAAGGTGTATTGTATATTGTCAGGGCATAATATGAACAAAATCCAGTTTCTAATTTTGGTTGTTTGGAGAACTGACAGATGGCATTTGGTGCCTTGCCCTTCTCCAATGCAAGTGAGGAGGGGTTAGCACACTGAATAGCCAGGTCTGTTTCATTTCCATTACCAGGCTTCTTTTGGTCATGGGACTGAGCCCAAAGGGTGCCTAACCCTGCCAGATTCCCTAGGTCCTCCTCACTCTGTTCAGTAACAAGCATTTATTGAAGATGTGGTAGACAGTATACCAAATGATTTTCACATGTTATCTCGTAATCCTCACAACAATTTAATAAGCCAAAGGTGCTTATTTTCTAAATGTACAAACAGACTTAGAATTTAAGAATCTTGCTTAAGATCTTGGACTTCAGAGTCCCCTCCTCCCCCCAGTTTTGCCAGGAACAATGTGAAGTACTAGAGTATGACACAGAATCTGTCTTCAAGGAGCTTATAGTTTAATGGAGACAGATACATTAACCCATAATTTCATTTAAATGTGATAGGTGCCTTGACAGAAATATGAGCACAGAGGGTATGGGAGCCTAGAGGAGGGTCATTACTTGAGTTAAAGGTATAGGAAGGCATCTTGGAGGAAGTGGTGTTCAAGTTAAGACGATGTAAGTTTAGCTACAGTGAACCTAGCTTCTGGGGTATATTATCAGACTGCCCTAGAACTAAGAGTGGAAGACCCAAAGACAGTCTGGCCCAGAATATTTCTGGTAGGTGTTTGCCAGTTTGTCCTAGCTCAGCCCATTCATTGTAGATATTTCTAAGCTCTAACCTTTCAGAGTGATAAACAATAGCTGAGTTCACAAACAAACAAACTTGGATGTATAGACCCAAATGTTGTTAATCTAATCAGTTAAGTATCTGATTTCTTGAAAAGTACCATTACTTTTGTGGCTAAACTTTATTAATACAACATAATTTTTAAAAAAAGTTTTAAAGTATCAAGTGCCAAATAAATGGTTGTTAAATAAGTGAATGAATAAGAGAAATAATCATATACAACAGGGGTCAACAAATATTTTCTGTGAAGGAACAGATAATAAATGTTTTATCCTTCATGAGCATATAGTTTCTGTTGCAACTACTTGATCCTGTTGTAGCACAAAAGCAGCCATGGATGTTAAGTGAACAAATGGGTATCATGTGCTCTAATAAAACTTTATTTACATAAATAAGGTGGCAGCTTGAATTTGGTTGTGGGCTGCAGTTTACCGATTCATAATATATAACAGTCAATACTTTACCAAAGTTACAATTTGCTCCTTATAAAATGTACTAGGGGCTCAGTGCATTAATTCATGCATGTTGAAAGGAACTGTGGGCCGTGAGGTGCCACAGGCACAGGGGCAAGTCTCGGCCCATCCTCCACGCCCCTGCCCAGCCCCTCCTGCCACAGCCCCTTGTCCCCTGTCTGCCAGTAGCCCCGCTCCTGTCACTGCTGCTCCCATGTGCTGACAGCGCTGGCCCCGCTCACACCTGCTGATGGCGTGGAGCGATTGGGGCCAGTGCCAGCAGCGGGTGCAAGTGGGGCCAGCGCCATCAGTGGGTTTGAGCAGAGGCTGATGCCTCGACCACCCCTCAGGAGCAGGGGGAGGTGGAGAAGCCCTCAGGGGCGATTAGGGCCATCAGCCGCCGCTTGCACCCACTGATGGCACCAAGTGATTGGAACTGACACTGAGCACCGGCACCGGGTGCAAATGGCAACTCTGGTGCCAGCTGCAGGCGTGAGCAGGGCCAGCACCAGCAGTAGGTGTGAGTGCCGGGCGGGACCATGGCACATGGGAGCAAACAATTTTCAGTAACCACCATCGGGGCCATCAGGGCCAGCAGCCACCACTCTCACCCGCTGATGGCGCCAAGGGATTGGGGCTGGCACTGGGCACCAGCAGCGGGTGTGAGCGAGGCCAGCACCAGCAGTAGGTGTGAGTGCCGGGCGGGACCATGGCACATGGGAGCAAACAATTTTCAGTAACCACCAGAGGCTTGCCCCAGTGACAACAGCCGGCACCCCACCTTGGTCTGGCTCCCCTGCTCACCTGCTCCACCATCCTGCCTCAGGTAATGCCCGCCATGTTCCGCCATGTGTGCCCCCCTGGTGGTCAGCACACATCATAGTGACCGGTTGTTCAGTTGTTTCGGTTCCAGTTGTTACACCATTCGCTCTATTTGCATATTAGCCTTTTATTATATAGTTTTTAAATTCTGTGCTTAATTATATACAGGTAACATATCTGGGGAAGGAGCTTTTAAAGTGTGTTTCTGAAGAAGTACCCATACCTCCAGAACCAAACTTGGTACCTCAGCAACATCAAACTTGTCTTCCAGGTATGTGCAGACCCACACCCATTTCTTAGTTATGGGAACAACACACACAAACCTACTGGGAAAGCATTCTTCTTTTTTATTTTTGTCTTCTTTTTCTTTTGGGTGAAATTCACATAACATTCAAATGACCATTTTTAAATGAACAAGTCATACACAGTGCATTTAGTACATACACAGTGTTGTACAGTCACCACCTCTGTGTAGTTCCAACACTTTCATTACCCCAAAAAGAAACCCCATACCATGCAGCAGTTACTCCCCGTTCTCCAGTCCCCCATCCCTGGGGTCTACCAGTATGCTTTCTGTCTATGTGGATTTGCCTATTCTGAATGTATCATAGAGAGAGTGGAAGTGGTAGGGGGAGGAGAGAGAGAGAGAAAGAGGGAGAGGAGAGAGAGAGAGAAACATCAACGTGAGAGACATATCCATTGGTTGCCTCCTGCACACGCCTGGATTGGGGTGGGGATAGAACCTGCAACCCAGGCACATGTCCTGACAGGGGCGGGCCGACACTCTAGCTACTGAGCCATGCTATATCTTTTTGTGGAACAGCCACACTGTTTTCTACAGCAGCGGAACCATGTTACATTCCCAACTGCAATGCACAAGGCTCCCAATTTCTCCATGCCCTCACCAACACTTGCTGTTTTCTGTTTGTTTATAGCACTTCATTTTTAACCACAGATGATTCTAGGATAATTAAGGAAATTATACCCTCTGCTCACAATTTCTTTCTCTCTACTTGGGGTAGATTTTTTTTAATGTCATTATTTGGTTAGTTTTTCATATTTTCTAAAAATATACTAAAATAAATCTTTGCTTATTAGTGTAAACAAATACGATTTATCTGATGAAATAAACCTTAGCCTGAGAAAACTGAAAAGAATGTAGTCTTAGCCAATTAGCTGCAGATTTTGAAATGATCTTAAAGTGGCAGCACACATTTTTGGAAAACTTAACTAATGTTAAGTTACCCTTCTCTGCTGTAGTATTCCCTCTTTTTTCTCCCTGTCCTTGCCCAGACTAGTTGGGGATAATGTAGACCAGTGATGGTGAACCTATGACACGCGTGTCAGAGGTGACATGTGAACTCATTTTTTTGGTTGATTTTTCTTTGTTAAATGGCATTTAAATATATAAAATAAATATCAAAAATATAAGTCTTTGTTTTATTATGGTTGCAAATAGCAAAAAATTTCTATATGTGACATGGCACCAGAGTTAAGTTAGGGTTTTTCAAAATGCTGACACGCCGAGCTCAAAAGGTTCTCCATCACTGAGTAGACTGAGAAGAGGTAAAAATCAGAAGATAATAATACTGAGATAACCAGTCATGAACCAAACGGGGATTACTATCACCACGCCCCTAACCAGGGTGCTGTAGGGATTTTCCCTTCCTTACAACAAACCCCAATAATTCAAAGTAATTTCCTCTCCTAACTTGATACCTAATCCACCCTAACTTCTGAGGGTCCTCCTTTGTCTCCAAAACTGGCTTCAGAATAGGATGCATTTCCCCTAATTTTCTGAAGACAGCTTCAAAAGTGCTTTTTATCATTTGGGAGAAGCAGCAATTGTGGTGAAATTAAAAGCCTTAAGAAACGAAAAGGAGTTTGTGTAGTAATTTATGGTATTTGATTCCTAACCCTGACTGCAGATCTATCTAGCTCAGGTTCCTGGCATAGGGTCCAGGAACCTGAATTTTAAAAAGTGATTCTTATGCAGTCAGCCTGACCTATTACTCTAAACCTATTACTTTGAATGACCAGTAGTATCTAATTTCTTATGCAGATAATAATTGGAAAACTTGATACATTCAGTCCTTTATTTTGATTCAAAAGTACACCTGCTCTAGTGCTCACAGGCACTTCTCTCTCTCTCTCTTCTCTCTCTCTCTCTCTCTCTCTCTCTCTCTCTCTCTCCTCTCCTCTCCCTCCTCTCGGCCAGCAGCTTTCTCCTGGTTCTGATTCTGAGCAACAAACTCTCTCTCTCTCTCTCTCTCTCTCTCTCTTGAAAGCCAAGTAAACTCTTTCTTCTCCTAGATTCTAATCTCAAAGCAGAACTATAGGTCTTCTTTATACACAAAGGTTATCTGTTCTTCAGATTTTCTAGTGCTATGTGATAGGTACATGCCAACAGGAGCCAGGCCAAGAGGCGTGAGAATTTAAGAAATTTTATTATATTCTCTCACAGCGGGCTGAGACTATTGTGTCAGTGTCAGTGTTACAGAATTTACCAGGCGACCGAAAAATACACTGGGAGTACTCGGAGATCCAGGATAAACCCATTTATTTTCAGATGTACTAGAATAGTGACCCAGGGGGTCAGTTCTCCAATCCTGAGTGAGTGAATATGGAGGAAGGTTTCCCTTTATACCCTTCGGTTTGTTTGTTTTCTATCTGTTTCCTAACTACCAGGCTTTTGTGGTGGGCTTCCAGAGCTCTTCCTGGGTCAGTTAGATGGGGAACTTAGACTGTATCTGAATGACTGGTCTGGGTGGTGTCAGAGACCTCCCCTGGAGCTAAGCTGTTACATTCTTTGTTTATGGCCCTTCTGTAAATTGTGAGTAATTAGGAAAACAGGTCTTGCTAGACCAGATTGTGGAGAAAGGGGCAGTGACTTAATGTAGGCTATCAAGGATGTTCATTAGGGTACTGGCACAGATTCAGATTGCTAGCCCTCCCAAAATGTCTTATATTCCCCATCATCAGCACCGAGGGAGTGTTTATGTTCTCTTATATATGGACTGGGTCAGGGTTGCACCAGCCAGCTGGGTAGCTGCCTGAACAACAGGATGTCCTTGGGAGATAGCACAACTCAGGCAAAGGGGAGCGCCTGAGTCAGCTGGGGAGTGTATCTTATCTTCTGCAGGTGCAGGGCGTTTGCTTCAAGCTATGGGGCAAATTTTATAACAATATATTTCAGAAAACATGTCCAAACAGGATAGGCCGTGGGTAGTGCGTCCTAACAAATGGCATGCATTTCCACCCCCAGCCATGCATCTCCTTCCTCAGAGGGACCACAGTTCCCTGCTAAGTGAGCATGAAATTAAAAAAAATGGTTTCTCAACTGCTGTTTCTATTGCTGGCAATGTAAACAGTTTCTTGTTACTAAATTCTGAACTATCTTTCCTTTAGATATTTTTTAAAATATTAATGCTAATTTGAGAACAGTGGAAGTGCCAGAACCCACTTCTTACTACCTTGATCTGGGACTAGGAATCTACAGGCAGGTCCCTGCTGACATTCTGTAGGCTGCTGTTAGAGTTTTATTTGAACCTTCTTGATTTAGGATTCTTTTGTACTTATTTTTGTGGTACCTTACAAAAATCCAAAGACATGGCAAGTTAGAAAAGTGCTAACTCTTTCATGGGGGCTCAACATCATTTGTTCATTTGAAAATAGAACATGCTTTTTCAGGAAAAAATAGACTCTTTTTGCAATGATAACCATGAACATCTACTTCTAGCTTTGTGACAAAGAATTTTTCCATCAGGGGCACTTAAAACCATAAAAATGGTCCTTGACTTGCTGATAATCTGTTGTAAATAAGTGACTTTAAAGAGTTTTCATCATTTTGGTGCTGTTGTTGTGCTTCATTTCTCTGTAAAAGTATAAGTAATAGAGCACAGACATCCACAGGTGCTTCTGTTTTATGTGGTTAAGAACTTCTTAAACCGTAAACACCTGAGGAAGATGGGTGTTTGATAACAGCAGAGTGTTCAGCTCCTATTTACAACTCTTAATTCTTGTCCATTATTTTCATCATGTTTTTCATACTGGTTTTATGTTTGTTTTAATTAATTAATTTTTTAAACTTATCTTTATTGTTGGAAGTATTACAGATGTCCCCCTCTTTTCCCCATTGAACCCCTCCACCCTGCCCCTGCCCCTACCCCCAGGCCTTTACCACCCTATTGTCTGTGTCCATGAGTTATGCATATACATTTTTTGGTTAATCTCTTCCTACCCATGCCCCTTCCCCCACCCCCAACGCCCTTCCCTCTGAGATTGGGCAGTATGTTCTATGTTTCCATGTTTCTGGATCTATTTTGTTCATCAGTTTATTTTGTTCTTTAGATTCCACATATGAGTGAGATCATGTGATACTTGTCTTTTTCTGACTGGCTTATTTTGCTCAGCATAATACTCTCCAGGTCCCTCCATGCTGTCTCAAAGGGCAAGAGATCCTTCTTCTTTACTGCTGCATAGTATTCCATGGTATAAATGTACCACAACTTTTTTATCCACTCACCCACTGATGGGCACTTGGGCTGTTCCCAGATTTTAGCATTTGTAAATTGTGCTGCTATGAATAGAGGGAGTAGAATGGTTTCTTAGCTCTGCAGTTCTTGTTGGAGATGAGGGACAAGAAAGAACCAAATGTCCACATCAGTGGTTATTTTCCTAGTCATTGGGCTGCTGAATATGCAACTGTCTAGAAATTTTGTTTGCAGATCTCAGAGGCATTTTGCCTAGGGAATCTACCTCAAGTGAAAATGAACGTGGGAAGAACTTCTGCACTTCAGTGTGGTAGATTGGTTGTCTTCACAGCTCCCGATGAAAAAATTATTTGTTGCAAATCTGCAAGTAGATGATCATGGTTATCATTGCAAAGAAGATGATAATTACTTGACCAATGAAGGGATTTAATTACTACTTCTCAGGATTCTCATTTCTCATTCACAAGAATTCTTTCAGTGATAGAGCTTCCTTCAGGCTCTAGAGGCAGGCGAATCTGGTCCTTAAGCAGAACTAGGAATCCAAGCACTGCTCCACTTAATCCTCCCCAAAGTGAGGACTGGAAGAAAGAAACAGCAGGTATTGCCAGGCTGCTTCAGTCTATACGTGTGTGCATGTTCCTGGTATCACAGTGTTTCACTTGTCAGTTCCTGTTTCTGCAGATCACAACAGCTTAGTTTTTCTAGGGTCTTTCCATGGAATGGTGACAATTACTAATGTACCCCAAATAAAATCATCTCCTATTAAAAAATATTCAATTTAAACATTTTATATGCAATATTTGAATTATGCTGCTTTATTCCTTTTTTTAACTTCCTACTCTTACTGTGACTGTCAGGGCCAGAATGGAAGCAAAACTTCAGTGTTTGGGATCTCTGTGTGAACACCATGGTGATGACTTCTTGTTACAGATAAGGTGAAGGTCATCAGGTGCTCCTGGCCCTCTCACACTAGGCCCTTTATTTAGGTCTGTGGCTTTTGGGGAAAGGCCACTCTGGAAAGACAGGTTTTTTTGTGCAAAAGACCTATTCTTCATCTGATGAAGCTAAGCTAACCTTAAGGAATTTAAGTAATATTTAAAGCTGTGGGGTTTTTTGAAAGAAGAATTCCCCTCACCCCCAACCTTTGTGGAATGCCTTGTTTCAGAAAGTCTACAAAACAAGGCTGCTATAAAGGAATTATTATGTTTTAGATACGGGCCATGTGTAAAAAAAGTTAAAATTCTTTGTGTTGTGACAGTTTAAAACCCAAATTAAATTCACTTAACCCTCTTCCTCTGAAAAAAGGAATTTTATGGACTCATGTATATGAAAGTCCAGGAAGAGGTCTTCAGCTTAAGCCAGGCTTCAAACAGCATGACTAGCACCAGTTTCTCTGCTTTTCGTTTCTCAGCTCCATCCTAACAGTCTCCTCTCATTATCCCAGAGTTACATACTTCCAGATTCAAGTTCAGAGGGGAAGAAGATGGAACTATTTCCCAGAAGAACCAACAAAGATCTCTTGCATCTCACTTCACTCTGAATGGGTCATGTTTTCATCCTTAAGTCAATGCCTATTCACTGGTTGGCTTAGATCTAAATAAATTCCACTAGAAGCACATGGTCAGGTGAAGGGAAAGGGATGATTCTTCAGAAGCAAATTAGAGTGGGGTCAGCATTAGATGGATTAATGGCCACTGGGCATCACAAGAACCCAATGCCCACACAGGTGTGTAATTATGAAAACACTTGGGCATTGCTTAGAATTACAAACAGAGCTCTTGGACTACATGGTCTGTCTAACTGAAATTGCCTGGCAAAGGTCACACCCATATTGGTGCTGTCTGTGGACTAAGATTCAATTTGCTGAATTATATAGAGCTCATATAGCCCTCTGAGAAAGGACTTTCTGAGACTGTCAGTGAGGATGAAGAAGCCAGTTTTAGGATGAATGACTCTTAGACTGCAAACAGGCTTCTTTCCCCAAGATCAGCCAATGCTGATTTACAGCTTATCTTGGGCATAGAAAATGGGGTGAAGAGTGATGTGGTCAGAAAGTCTATTATGTGTGCTCATAGACTTGACGAGGGTCTAGGATTTGCAATAAATTTAAATCTTATTTTTAAAAGGCAGATTTTAATTTGTTGACACTTATTTAAACAGGAATTTCCAGCGAGTCAATGCAAAGCATCCCACATTATCTACAAATAAATGAAATACTATTAATCAGCGATCAAGAGTATCTCCCGTGCCATATAATGGATCAGCATTGGAAGTTCTATGTGGAGTGTGAAGAGCTAACATTCTAAAGCCTTGTTTTCTTAATAATGTATTAGGTATTTGTTCATATTATTAACTAACGTTCATATTTCATCTTTGTGGTCTGGTGGGCCTATTTTAATACACACTTAAGATGTGTGTTTACTGTTGTAAGAAAAAACATAACTTCAACTACTGAAGTAAGATTAATACATTTTTACCATTTAAATAAAGGCATTTTAAAAAATCTTTATTGTTGAAAGTATTACATAGGTCCCCTTGATCCCCCATTAACCTCTTCTAACCCGCTCCTGTCCCCCCACCCCCAGGCCCTCACCACCCCATTGTCTGTGCCCATAGGTTATGCATATATGCGTACAAGTTTATTGGTTGATCTCTTCCCATCTACCCTCCCCTGCCTTCCCTCTGAGGTTCAACAGTCTGTTCATGTTTCTGTGTCTCTGGGTCTATTTTTGTTCAACAATTCAAATAAAGGCATTTTTGAAGTAAACCATATTGACTCTCTGGCTTTCTTTTTACCAACATAACTTTAAAACGAATCTTTTGATCAACACCTCTGCCTTTGTATAAATAACAGTTATTCCTTAAGGGAAGTAAGGATACAAGCAAGAGTGGTCATTGGTCAAAAAAAAAGGCCTGGCTAAAGTGAATCTACTTCAAATAAGAAGTCAAGTCCCAATACCTTTACCTATTTACTTTGAAATTTATCTTGAAATAAAAATTTGAAATTATTAAAGAGATTTACTCTAAGTTTTGTAAAATTTAGCGTAGATAGAATTGTAACTGTGCTGAGTCTGAGAACAAAAACATGAATCAAGTGTTGATTTGGGGCTGATTATTTTATTTATTATTTCATCTTTGACTTTTGCTACATTTTCATGAAGGTTTTTTTAAATCGATTTATTCAAGAGCATTATAAGTTTTCTCAAGGGTATGTCTAATCCTTTGATAACCATATTATTCTTCATTTATTCATCATCATCCCAGACTCCCAAATAAACTTCTTAATTACAATTAAAATTACTCTAGTAGTGCTAGAATTTTGAGGGGAGGTGGAGAGGAGATATGATGGTGTTGTTTTTATATTTCTTATTTTAAGTGTATAGAATTTTAAATATCATTAACAGTTACCTGTGAGGAGAAAAGTTATGGGGGCTCGGGATCTAAGGGGAAAGAAAGAGTTTTTAACTACATGGACCCTTTGGCAAATTTTGAATGGGTTCTATATGTGTGTTCTTTCTATTCAGATAGAAATTTTAAGTTTCTGAAAAAAAAAGTACCTGGAAGATTTACCTATTAATAAAAGTATAAAGACATAAATCATTTTATTTTTCTTCCTTTGAGAGTCCATTGAAAATGTTCAGGATAGAATAACCCTTCAAATTATAATGTTTGCGAACTGAAAAGAGTTTCATTATTCTATATAATAAAAGGCTAATATGCAAATCGACCAAACAGCAGAATGACTGGTCGCTATGACACACACTAACCACCAGGTCAACACAGGAGCTGCCCCGTGGTGGTCAGTGAACTCCCACAGGGGGAGCGCCACTCAGCCAGAAGCTGGGCTCAAGGCTGGCAAGCGCAGCGGTGGTGGCAGGAGCCTTTCCCACCTCCGAGGCAGCACTAAGGACCCCTCAGGGATGTCTGACTGCCTGCGGAGAGCAGGCCTAAGCCAGCAGGTGGACATCCCTCGAGAGGTCCTGGACTGCGAGAGGGCACAGGCCGGGCTGAGGGACCTCCCCCCGACCCCTAGTGCATAAGTGTTGTGCATCATGCCTCTAGTTCCAAATTAATTTTCTTAGAATATTCTATTTTTCTAATACTTGAATAGTCTACATGATGTGGTCTATTTGGCTTTTATTATTTAAAACATGGGTCCTTTGGGAATACATGTACTAACATGGAACTTGTACATATAAGTAAATGAAAGATGCAAATTGTTAGGAAATGTTTAAAACAAATACTGGTTTTAAATGAATAAAAATTATATGCCTTTGAATGCATGTATAAAAATAACCATATAAATCTATAATAATAAAAGTGTAATATACTAATTAGACTGGACGTCCGACCGGACGACCTTCCAGACCACCTTCTGGACAAAGCCGGGGTTGTGAGGGAAGCCCAGGTCCCAGATGCCAGAGGGAAGTCAGTGCCAGCAGCCGGGGGAAGGAAGGCCTACTCTTGCACGAATTTCATGCATTGGGGACTCTAGTATACATATACTTATATTATGTATGGTATATGTACTTTATAAGCTATGAAATGTGTATTTGTATGTATAAATGTGTAGGGGGATAGAGTATGTTGAGTAAAAGGTCTGGAATGCTGCAAATAAAACTATGCAATGATGGTCCCTAAGGATATTTTTGTAATTTTATTTTTCAGTTACAGTTGGCATTCAATATTAGTTTTAGGTGTACAACATAGTGATTAGACATTTATATAACTTACAAAGTGATCACCCCATAAGTCTGGTACATCCTGGCACCATACATAATTATTACAATATTATTGACTGTATTCCCTGTGCTGTATTTTACATCCCCACGACTATTTTATAATTGCCAATTTGTGCTTCTTAATCCCTGGTGAAAGCATTCTTTTGTAGTTTACTTTCAACTTAAAAAACACACACCACATTTCTTTTGTAATTTAAAAATATATTTTTAAGAACAACTTTAAAAGCAGGTATTTTATTTAGTGATTATAATTTACATAAGTTATACATTCTAAATTTATACTACAAGAAATCTTGCAATTCTAAGTTTTCATTTTAGTGATCAAATTTTTACACTTAATTTTCTAAGCCCCCTTTAAAATTTTATATACCAACTGGAAACTGACATAACACCTAGTGCCCTGAGGCACACTGAGTATTGCCCAAACTGAACAGCAAAAAGGTCTACTCCCATTAGGGTTCAGTTACGAGAGCTACCTGAACCCAGATCATGCAGGAGAGAAGACAGGGCAATTTGGGAATTTGCTAGATGTTTTGCCTATTCTGGGTCCTAAATGAAGCCCTCGAGCTTCTGACCCTGAGCCTTATAAGGGACTTCTGGGAATATCTAAAAATCCTGTCTTCTGCCTGATACTTAAATCCTTTCCATAAAACTCACTTCTTGAACACCTCCAGATACTCCTTACTCAACAAGGAAGCCTATTCCTTACTATCACTTCGTAAGGTAGTCCTCGGTGTTAGAAAGCTGGAACCTCAATGTTACAATCCTGTTACAAAAATTACAAAATAAAACTTCCTTTTAAGGATTGAATTACTATAGTACAGGCTTCCACTGGCCTGGTGGCTGATGTCCAAGCATACGTCTTGTCCCTTTCTCCTCAGTTTCTTTCATTCAGTCCCTTCCACTTCCCCTCCTGGTTTCAGTCCTTTATCAGTGCATGTTTAGACAATGTGCATCAGCAATCCTAACCCACCCCCATTTTTCCTTATGAAAACCTGTGGCACACTGTGCCAAATTCTTCTTAAAGATCTATTTTACTTCCCTGCTGTTTCAAGGAGAAAATCTAGGTCCAATTCAAGGCCTCCTACTCTGTGATCCTATATAACCTTCCAGCTTCATGTCCCAATCATCTTTAACTTTGACTCACTCGTAAACTTTTTTCATCCCTGTTATGGGATGAATTGTTTCCCCTCAAAAGTCATATGTTGAGCCCAGCCTGTGTATATATATAATATATACATTTTAATTCATATATTGAAGTTCTAATCCCCAGCTCCTCAAAATGTGACTGTATTTAGAGATAGAGCCTTTAAAGGGGTGATTAAGTTAGAATAAGGCTGCGCCTAATTCAATATGACTGTTGTCCGTATATGAAGAAACCTAGTCACACAAAAGGACCTCAGGGATGCACCTGCAAGGATAGAAGACTCTGTGAGGACACAGTGAATAGGTAGCCATCTGCAAACCAGGGAGAGAGACCTTAGAATGAAATCAACTCTGCTGCGACTCCTTGACCTTGGACTTCTACCCCCGGGAAGTGTGAGAATAACTTCCTGTTATTTAAGCCCCCAACCCTAACAAACTAATACAATCTCCCTTACATTTGTGTATACTACCTAGAACAGTGGTCAGCAAACTGCGGCTCGCGAGCCACATGCGGCTCTTTGGCCCCTTGAGTGTGTGGCTCTTCCACAAAATACCGACTTCTGTGCATGAGCCACGAAGTTTCAATCACACTGTACACGTGCGCCCTCACGTGGTATTTTGTGAAAGAGCCACACTCAAGGGACCAGAGAGCCGCATGTGGCTCACAAGCCGCAGTTTGCCAGCCACTGACCTAGAATGTTCCTTCTCCTCCTGCTCATAGATGTTTTCCTTATTCTTTGAGCTTTCTCTTCATGTATGAACTCTTGTGTTGCTTTCTCAGACCACCAAAACCCAAGCACTTAATATCTACTGCTTGGTAGTTACTAGTTTTCTCTTCATGGCCTATCTCCCGCAAGGAGCTGAAAAACTTATTATGATCATGTTTAGGGTTACACACAGTGTGTTTCCTATAAAATGTCTCACACATAACTAGATGCTCAAGAAATATCAATCAGTTAGGCTGTTTTCAAGTACAATAACAAAACCCTACTCAAAACGACTTAAGCAATAAAGTAACTACGTTATTTTACACAAGTCCAGAGGTAGGAACTTCAGGATTGGTTAATTCTTCCACTCAACAATGTGATTACATTTCTGTCTTTCAGCTCCCTTCCCAGTGCCAAGATGGCTCTGCTGTTACAGGCAGGTGTACGTGCAGGAATAGCATCATTATAAGAAGAAAAGAAACATTTTCTTTCAATGCACATCCTTTGGGAATAAACCTTTCCTGAATATCACCACTACCCAAGAAAATCGGCCAGTGTCTCAGAATTGTACCATCTGCGTGCTCCTTAATCAGTCACTAACCAGGGAAGCGGGTTTACCTTGATTGGCCGAGAGAAGTAAGTACATCCCCATGTGCAAGAGAGTAGTCAGCTGTACAGACTCCAGGCTGCCAGAACACAAAACAAAAGAAAAGAAAACAAAACAAAACACCATGTGTGTGAGGGGGAAGGGTTGGGGTGAGAACTAATATTTATTGAACACTTACTATATACTAATCATTTGGTATAGGCACTTCCAGGGTTTTAACTCATTTAATTCTCGCCACACCCTATGAAGTAAGAAATAGTATTCCTATTTTATAGATGAGGAAATGGAGATACAGGATGAAGTAACTTGGCCCAAAGTCACACAGCTTCCAAGTGGCA